GGGTGTGTGTTTCTGTTCTAATATATACAAAGAATCTGTTTGCACGTTTGATTCTCTTTAATGCAACACACTGTCCATTAAGCCGGCTTTCCACTCGGCGGAATTTTGCGCGCGGAGCAGAATTTTTCTTTGTCTTGTGATTTCTCGAGTGGAACTAATTAGAAAAGACAATGAAATTCCGCCCAGTGGAAAACCGGCTTTACTCAAGTAAATTTAAATTTGGTACCTAACAGCACTAAGACCCAAATTGGAACAAAATCAACAGATTACTTGACTCAGACTGAGTAATTTGCTCTTTCTCAAAAGGTCTCAAAAAATCACTGCCCTCCAAAATCTCCAGAAGCGTATCCAAAATGTTTGGTCAGAGGGGGGGTGGCAACAAAAACCTAGGTGGGGCCATAAACGAAACCGTCATCGGCTCTGACTCCAAAAGTTGTCCATCATCATCATCTGTTTCCCATCGGCTTCGATCTTCAAACAATCAGGGTAAATATGTTATCTAACAACTTGAATAGGATTCTCTGAACTTGTACTCGGAGAAGAGCAGTGATGTTTTCATAAAGAGTAAAGTACTCGGTCTGGGTAAGGTAATCATTTGTTGTAATAACTTGAACAAGGTGGGTCCAGTGTAGATCAAGGTTGTAGGAATCACACGGTGCAAGTAAAAATTTTCTTTCAACTAGCTGAAAGAAAGATACAAAACTTCTCCGAGTTCAGATTGAGAGAGTCCTATTTACCCACATCGTATTAATCATCTGTTGGCCTTCATGCCGACTTTAGACTTCATGTTGTTAGCAGGCCCGGAGCTACGGGGGGGGGGTGACCCCCCCCCAGTAATTGTATTCAGTCGGCAGGACTGCTATTCAGTCGGTAGGACTGCTATTCAGTCGGTAGAACTGCTATTTGGGTTAAATATTTTTGGCGCAAAGGGCAAGAACGTGGTGGGAATTTAAGAAAATTTTGAGGAAAAATGTAAAAATTTTGGAAAAATGTAAAAAAATGTTGAAAATTTGTTATGTGCGGAAAATTTTTGAATGTTCCGGAAAATTTTTGTACGTCCGGAAAAATTTTTGGACCCCTAAAATGGTACACTGACCGAAATTTTTTTGGCGACGGGGGGGCAGGGGGAGGTCGACAAAAAATTTGTGATCCGGAAAATTTTTTTTTCAACCAGTCGGTTCAATTGACCTTATTACACCCCCCCTGAAGAATTTCCTGAGGACGGCCCTGGTTGGTAGATAACATATTTACCCTGATTGTTTGATGATCGAAGGCGATGGAAAACAGATGATGATGAAGGTAATGATGATGATGGTGATGATGATGGTGATGATCATGCTGGGCAACTTTTGGAATCCACTCAAAGTACTGATGACGGTTTCGCTGAAGACATTTTGGAGAGCAGTGATGTTTTGATAAAGAGCAAATTACTCAGTCTGAGTCAAGTAATCTGTTGGTCTTGTTCCAATTTTCGTCCTAATGCTGTTGTATAGCATAATTAAATTTAATTGACTGAGAATGGACAGTGTGTTTCGGAAAGGCAGGATTTTTTCAACAGGGGGCAGTAAGGTCTATATGCCGAAAAAAGTCGCAAATATCGGAAGAATAATTAATGATATTCTAAAAATCGTAAAAATAGTTTCCTCAAGGGGGCAATTGCCCCTCCCCCTGTCTCCCCGCTGTGTACGGTCCTGAATGTTTAGGATTGTGATAATATTTAAAGCCTGATGAAAAACAGATTTGCTTGCGAACGTTATGTAATGACTGTAATTGTTGTAGTATAAAAATCAATCATATTTTTTTTTAAATAAGTTATTATTGCAATGTTGACTTGGAAGTGTTCCTGGCCTCAGAATGTTTGGCGAACTCCATTCAAATGCACAGACCATAAATATATCATATATTTTTAAAACACTTCGTTGTCATCTTGTTTTATTTCAGCCCTGCTTTCGCACATTTCATAATTTTTTTCTTGTCCAGGTTTGTCCAGTCCTGGATTGAGATCAGTTTTCTAACTGCGCGTGCGCATTAAGTGTTTTGTGGTCAAGCGCATGCGTATTTGCAACACAACAATGGCGGTTCACGGATTTCCAAATTCGAAGAAGCATGTACTTTGGCGAGGTTGTACTTCAATTTGTGCAACTATTTCGCTTGGGGGGAAGTGGATTCTAACTAAGTAAGTTCTAATCTATCCATCCATGTAAAAATTATGTAGTTGCACGAGGGGTGCTACGGAATCTGTTTTCTAAGCATATTTTCGACCCTCATCTCACGGCCTAAAAGTAGACAATATTGAACAGTGATCTGAAGTTAATGTCATGCAACTGACAACAAAATTATATCTCAATATACCTGTATATGCAGATATTTCACAAATATATCGGGATTTTTGGACCAATTATAAACTTAGCAATGCAAAAAGTCTCCATTCAAGAATATATCTTCTTCCCAAAAGGTAAAATACTTAGTATACTTGATTAAATTGTTTACTTCGACGGTATGTAAATTAACAGCGTTTGACTTACAAGACGTCAAAAATGGACGCTTTCAGCGCGCTGTCGTTTATCGCGTATTCATTTGCCCAAAGAAGTATTTACCTCAATTGAAAGCTTGTTTATTAAAAAGCCAACTAGTAGAAGAATGATCGATTTGGAGCTTTAGGGACCGGTCATTATTTAAGGCGGGGGGTGGCACCGAAGAGAAATGTTTTCCGTGGCAAAAATTTTGCCGACCCAACCATTAGAAAGTAAAAAAAAATAATTACCCAACCTCAAATATCAGTTAAAAAATAAATACCCACCCCTGGCCAAAACATTTACAAAAGGTGCCATTCAGTTGTCACATATGTCCTTTACCACTTCTGTGCCATAAGTTTGATAACAGATTTTATAATATAGCATTTGTAAATTCTGAATGCTGATTGGCTAAGAGCCGTGTTGGTATAACTCAATGTCAACACAGAAATGTCGGAAAATTTCTTTCTTTATATGTCTATGTGCTATATTTTTTCGGGCGTCGTGTTTTCAACACAATTAATTTCTCATTTTCCCATTTTCCACTTGTGTTGATATAAAAGACCCATAGGTCCCATAATCGACTAGCAACATAATCAAGTTAGTTATATTAATTCATTATATAGGATCAATGTTAAAGGCAAGGTGGGCTACAACCAATAATCATTTGTATGGTTTATAGAAGGCTAATTGCTGTGAATAAATTGAATAATGAATGTAGCACAATATTATATAGTTGCATGATGACGTCAAAGAAACTAATCAGACTACATTTGCAAGTTTTGCAACTATCATCGCTTAAATTCCCCATACCTGAATACAAAATAAACAGTAAACAACGATTACCTTTTACATACCATATATAAAACGGAGTTTTCATCCTTTCTAGAAACTCACTTCCTGAACTTTTGAGTGCAAATGTAATAATGTGCTAACATATTAAAAATTTTAAATTGTATATCATATTTACAGCGGTTAATACCATTAATATATTGCGGGCACAATACAAAACATGAGAATTTTAAAATAAGTTTTGATTTGCAAATAAATAAATAAATTTGATGTCATAAAAAATTTTAAATTTAACTCAACACAAACTGGTAAGTTCATGACATGTATAATTTACTTATTTGTTTTATATTGCAATTCTGTATACCCTGTTCCTTTGAAAATTATTTGCAAATTGCATATGATGTTGTCATGTATTATATATATAGTTGTGTCATGAATTTAATAATACCTCAATGGCTTCGAAATAGACAATGGATGAAAAAAGTCATGAATATTTAGCTTATTTACCCTTTAAACACTTGATCGTCATGCGCATACAGTGTATTGTTTGTTACCAGAACCCCCTCAAGCAGACTTCAACTTTTCTTGTCAAATTGTATATTTTGCTTCATACACTGCACACGTGTGTATTTGTGGGAACACTCATGTTTGGTGCTTGGGATAAGTTAATGGTAATTTCACTGGAGTCATCAGGGATATAGTTGACGTATATTCCTGAAATTACCTCTATAAACACCTAAAACAGCATTCCCCCATTTCATATCGCTCAAACACGCATTGCTTAAAGTCCTTAAAAATTGCAGATTTTGCTTAAATCACATACCTAAAATTGCTTATCTCGTTATTGCCGCAGAGTAGGGCCTACTGTTGCCATTGCTTTTTAGTCCCCAATACTTCAGTGAGTCATGCTTTGGAAATGACAATAATTTTTTATTACCCAACCCTCGAGTTGTTTTGTTTTTCATTTACCCAACCTTTTACTTACTCAAAATTTAGTTTACCCAACCCTTTTCTCTTCGGTGCCACCCCCCACCATAAATAATGACCGGTCCCTTATCGCATGGTGAAATTTGGTTTTGTTAAGAGGGTATCGTAAATGAAGTAAGATAGTGTGCTCCAAAACGATTATTTCTATTCCTAAAAGTAACTCAGATTTCCTGGAAGTCACGTACCCGGTCCTTTGAATAACCGAAAACACGATTTTTAGGGTTTTAGATCGATTATAAACGGTTGTCGTCGTGAAATTCGTCGGTAAAATCAGTGCATATTTTCCCAGACAAAATGGCGATTTAGGGTGGTCGTGTTAAAACGGCATTTTCTCAAAGTTAAAAAAGCATTTGACCTAAAAATATATATGGTGCATTTTCCGATATAATAAGGTATATCTGGGCAAAATTTGAGCAAAATCGATTTTTCCGTCGTGGCCGCCTTATGTTTGATTTTTGTGGACATCCTCTCTTAAATAGTTCATTTCTAAAACTCGTCGCGCAATACTCGTTTACTTTTTTAACCGGTTGTCCCCTTTAGAGTGGTCTTTACACAAAGTAAAACATAGAGGCAGTCAAAATGATTTTTCTGTGCTGAGTGGTTATATTACTACCTTAAAAAACAAGCAGAAACTCGACGTTTCGAGCTTCAGAAACTTCGACGTTTCGAGTTTCTGCCAGTTTTTTAAGGTAGTATAGTAATATAACCACTCAGCACAGCATTTTCACATTGGTACTATATACCCACACTGGTACAGACAGTTTTAGTATAAAACTATTTTACTACTTTTAAGTTTGAAGAAAAATACGAAGCGCCGCGACAGATTTCAAGATGTTCGGTTCATGATCATTGATCATGATTTCATAGCATTTTTTAAATATCTTTCCAGATTCGCATTCATGCGGCACTACCATACAGCATAATGGGAGCAATATGTCTTCAAGCAGCTGTACTTGGATTATTTTTACCAGAAACCAAAGGTATACCAACCTTAGAGACCATGGATGACATGAAAAAAGATAACTCTGACAAGAATGGGAATGACAGGAATGACGAGATTTGAACTCTACCTGATCAGATTGCTGCATGGTAAATTTTAATCATAATTCCACATCTTACAATCGTCCGCTCAAAACAGCATTAAGTCGTACGTAATTTTAGTGAAACTAACAAAATTATAAATAAGTCAAAGATAAATTAACCAACACTAATTGGTCTAATATCTGTATAATTTTACTGATGCTAATGAGCGTATAATGCTTTTTATCAATGAATTTAGTATAATTAATAATGACAGCTTTCCTTTTCGTCTTTCAACCAGGAAAACACTAGACAATGGTAGAAAAGCCGTGGATCACAAATGCTCTTTTCAAATCAAAGAAATAAAGAAATAAATAAATTTCAAATCAAGAAATACTAGAAATACATGCATGCAGCAACCCCTCACATGTATTTTCCAAACATTTATTAAACATGAAGTATTAGTAATTGATCAACACTGAACGCAGGCTCGCGTTTACATTGGTGTTGCGATGGCAACATGATAAATTTAAATTTTATTATTTTTTGATCATTGCTTGTAACTATATAAGAACAGTGGCGTAACTACTATGGGCTCGGACCGGGAGAACCCGGGGGCCCCCAACCTATAGAGCAACAATGCCGTTTATAGCCTATAGAGCAACAATGTCGTTTACTGACGATCAGAATTCTGTAAAATCTCTCCCCAAAGTCCAGGAAATGACATTTCAGGGAGTCTAGAGTCAAAAATTTTCCAGGTGAGCATGCCCTGGACCCACTAGAAAACTCGTGCATATACGGCGCTCGACTTGTGCCTTTGGCATGGACTTCTACAAGGGGGGGGGGGGCTCTGAAAAGTTTGAACCGCGGAGTCCCCCTGACATAAAGTTACACAACTGTATAAGAATGAATTTCCGAAATATGTACTGTAGGTATGTTGTTCTGCATTTTGTGAGCTTTGATTTAATGTAAAATTTAATATAACCTGAATCGCTGGGAATGTTTTGAAATGTTCATTTTAATAACATTAAAGGATAGACTGCTTTTTCCGATAAACTGTTTTTACTTAATAAAACAAAATAAGTTCAAATTGTTGAGTAGTTGAAGAATCAATATTAAATTTTAAACCCTACGACTAAAGAAGAGATTGTAAACAAATGACAACAGTAAAGCAGCATATTGATATGATTTGTTCAACATGAGCTCCTTTGAATTTACTATATGAGTAAATTCTTAAACACGTCGACCGAATTTATCATTATGATAAATTCGCGGCACATTTAGAATTTATCAATAGAGTTAATCATAAAACCACAAGCATTAGACAAGACTTTTCGCGTGGGGGTGAGGAGATTTTCAAGATTCAAAAAAAAGTCATAAAAAGTTTTAAAAAAGTTTTAAAAATGTTTTAAAAAGAAAAGAAAAGTTTAAAAAGTTAGATTTTCAAAACAGTTAAAAAGTTAGATTTTCAAAAAAGTTAAAAAGTTATATTGGGGTTGGGATTGGGGATAGGGTTAGTGTTTGGGGTTAGATGCCGCGAATTTATCATTATGTTAAATTCAATATGGATTCAGAAAACATCATTCTACTCATTTAGCTATGTTGCACGTAGTTCAGAATATCACCTCTGCCTTTGATCGTAAAGAGTTTGTAATCGGAATTTTTCTATCAAAACCAATAACGGTAAATCACAATGTCAATTTTGTTCATGCCCGTAGCTGGCTCTCAATTTCGGGGGCGGGGGGGGGGGGGCAGAAGCCTAAGCCCATATATACTTCATGTAATACTATCCCCCAACGCATATCCTAAGGCTAGCCATAATATGTGTCGATATATGAAAGTAGGCATCACTTCCTTAGAATGTTTTATGTTTTTGTCATATAACCACCAATCAAAATGCGTATATGCCATGTTTGCACAAACAAATGTCCTGTGAGTGTAATTGGTTAAATGGTTTCTACATACAAATGCACGTATATGTTATTTTTCTAAAAAAATACATCAAGACATTTTTTTATTTTGCCTGTCTGCAATCTTTAAAGCTAATAAAGAGAACTTATATGCGCGAATTTTGACTAAATAGAGTAAATCTACTTCGATAATAATTACAAATCGAGATTATATTTGTTCTTTCAAGACTACACGTTCTCTATTTACGATGTCGTTACTAAAAAAAAATACTCAATGTAAAATGTAATTTATTATAAACTTATTGCCGTCTGAACTTTTTATGTTATGACACGAAGTGAATAATTTATTATATATTTTTGTAAATAATTTTACGTATTATTTATGAGCTCAACATGGCGCGATATAAGGGAGCCTAAAACGTTATAAGCCCTAGGCTTCAGTCTTCTTATAGGCTTCCTTGTCACAAATTCATTAGGGTTTTCTGCGGATGACACTAAGCAGGTCGGTAATCTTCAAGAGTATGCCCCTCGTGTTTTATTTTTTTAAATTTTATCAGCTTAATTTCTTAATCTGCGTTAGCAGACTGATCTCATCTATTATCGCTGACTAGCTTTATTGTACACAAAAACGTTACAGTTTAGATATATTAGAAGGTGTAGGCGGTAAGCCCAATGGAACTAGTGCAAACATGTGAGCTCCATATAGATCTGGAGTGCATGAGAACTCGAGTCCAAAAGTGAAGCCAAGTTAGCGGAATTCGAAACTAAAGAGCCAGTGGACGTCTGTTCCAGTCCCATTTTATTATTATGCGGTATATATTGCCGGTATAATTGGTAAACTCATATTTGTTATTGTGTAACTAGCTATTTGTATAATTAGGGCTGTTCTTCCTCTCTCAGCGTAGATAGCTAAGTTTGTAGCCGGATTTTGAATGAACGCCTAGGATTCATTTATGGTAAAATGTAGTTATCACACAAGTAGTCCCACAAATTAATTTCGCTATGTAAATAATGCATACACGGCCATTGCATTTGCTGTCAGCGGTTACAGTCAACCTATTCAACACAATGATGTCACCACCTCCTATGCTTCTGAGTTGCTATAAAGAGTAGTTAATATACAGGCCATTCGACCGAGAGTTTTGGGGCGCCGCATCATCATTAGGATAAAACAGGGCGCGCTTGGGCGAGTTTGCGCGCAACAGTCATTGAACTGAGCGCACCATTTTCATCACAAAAGACGACGCTTATTATCATATGTGTATACATTCGTTTGAGTATCATTTAGCTACCAAAGGCCAAAGCAATACGATGGAGTGTCTACATGGAGAACCAGTGCCTTTTTTAACTATATATCTGGGGGGCACCCCAGGGAAAGAATTTGCCCCCCCCCCAGTAAAGCCATTTCTGCCCTCGAAGTGCGAAGCAGAATTGCTCATGATTGCTGTCAGAATTGCAGTTGATATACTTGATAATGAGATTATACCCTTCCATAGCCTCCTCCACAGCCATCTTGTGTGTAATTCATATTGTTGTTCACCGAGTATTTCATAATAGCGATAGATTTCATGCAAACAATCCGATAAAATGCTAGCCTTTCCAAGCCTTGCGACTATTTCCTAGCACTCTCCTCCGCAGAGGCGTTGTGATTTGTTTTGGGAGGTTTTATTGCAAAATTGTTTTCTTAAAAATATCAAGTTATATTAAGAGCCCCCCCCCCGCCCCCCTCAATCGCCACAAAAACCATTCTCTCAGAAAGTACACGTTACATGCTCGAAGCTGAAACTGATTAAGTTCGTCTCGACTGAGGAAAAAGACGATATACTGGAGGCACTTGATTTATGAAATCTCGTTAAAGCAATTGTAGATATGGTTCCAAGAAGAATAGATTTAGTTTAGATTTTTAACTGTTAAATACATGTATGCATCATCATAGCATGAATATTTCTTCTCAGACTTATTCTGTATCGTATGAAAAAGCAACGCAATTTTGAGAATGCGGAAATGGTGTCTCATAGAACCTAAAATGATTTAAATGCAACATTTCTGATCAAAATCACATTGGGATCCCCCCAGCATCACAGAGAGGAAATAAGGTGACACTGACCCCCTCCTATATTTCAAGGTGACTTTTCCAATTTATTTAATTCCGAGTAGAAATGTCTGGAAAAATTCATGTCTTCGATGTACTTTAGGATCTTCGGAATTCTGCTAGATTTCACCCCAAAATGCATGAAATCGCAATTCAGGGACCCTAGATTTCAAAATTTTCCGGACCCTCCTAGACGGTCTCACGCCTTCGGCGTGAGGTTCGCCCCCCCGCAAAATTAAGGTTTGGCTACGCCACTGGTTATAGCTGTACGATTATAGCTACAAAGAGTTGAAGTTATTGTTTAAAGTAAAATATAGCTGAAGTTAATAAATTAAAGTTTTACAAAATCTCTCTTCAGACTCGCGCGTTCGCCAAACCTCGACGGCTCATATTTTTCGTTCTGCCTTTTTTCCTGTTTTGCCCCCCCCCCCAGGCACTTTGGAGAACCCGCGTCTTACAATTTATTGGCAGAAATATATGCATGCGAAATGCCGTCTCACATGAAATTCAAGACTTTGTGGGAATTCTGCAATATATGGGTATTTGGCAGTGATTTGTCTATGGTCTTAATAGTCATTTTATAGCCTAAAATAGTTAATTAACCTAAAAAATATGGTGTAAGGAAAAACGTCATAGTTCACTAAGTGCACATCAAAACCCCCCACAAACTATATATTGGCAGAAAGCTTATGATATGAGCAATCGAAAAAAGCTATTTTATTACTGCACACAACAAACAATATTGAGATGGCTCTGGGCCGATTGCCAAATTTGCGACTAGACTATATCAGTGAAGAAATGATTGCACATTTTGTATTTGAATAATGATTTGGCTCTTTTATATCTGAAATTAGCTAACACATGGGGATTACTGTTTTAAGCATAGAGAATTTGGATACATTAAATAATGAAAAAGTTATGGCCAATCAGATTTTAGCACTGAATTATAAAATATTGAAACTGCCATAACTTTAAAAATATTTGCCATGGAACAAATTCCTATGCTTAAAACACAAAGATGACTGAGTGGAACAATCACTAAAAATTTTAGCCAAATCCATTGTAATCTACTCAAGATATCTTTTCTCAACCGCTGAAATAGTGTGAAATGAGAAAATCGAGTTTACAGTTTTCGTTACTAGTTAATGTTAAATATTTCATCATCTTACAAAGTTAATGTG